GAAAATTAATAGGACTAAGTAATTATCTAACCCAATGGAATCTTTCTTCTCCTTTTTTTAAAAAAATAACTCACTGAGTACAAGTTATGCTGCCCCTACACTCATGAATGTTGGGTCATTTACTGGAGCATGACCTACCTACCAAGGCCATAGTCCTAAAGAAAACTGACTCTCCCTCCCCTAGAAGCCATCAACTGTCAATAGCTCCTCGGATGGCTGTGAAGGCTCATGAACACCTATCCACTCTATACTAGAATATTTTTACTGGCTTGATCTTGTGCCAGCCTTGTGCAGGGAACCATGGATGCTATGAGCTCGTGAGTACAGTGGTCCTGTCAAGTCTAGAAGACACTGTTTTGATCTGGTCTTCCCCCACCCTCTGGCTCCTAGAATCTCTCTGCCACTCTTACAAGATGGTACCTGAGACTTTCATGGAGGGGCTACATTTGATATCTATAGAACCAGGTTCTTAAACTGCAAACACCTTTCCAACTCTTTCCTTCTCCTAAAAGTCTGTATTGTTAGGGTAGGAAGTCAGAGAGGATGAATCTAAGGTCATTCAAGGAATAATTGAAAATTAATAGGACTAAGTAATTATCTAACCCAATGGGACCTTAAGCATCTAAGAGCAGAGTCATCATTCAGACTTAGACCCTAAAGAATCCATATTTTAATGGCATACTCGATGATCCCATCTTCATACTTTTCCAGGTGCTTCTCTGTACCTTCAGACTCTGTAGTAAATCCTTTGGAAACCCAACAACACTTTGTTTTAGTGAAGTAATATTATTTCAGAAGAAATATCCCCAATTCAGATAGAGAAAGAGATGGTTGATTCATTCCATTAATGGTTCTTAGAGTTGTATGCAAGCAAACAGGTAAGACTCCAAAACAAATACACTGCAACTAGATACTTAGGAGAGTTTCTTCCATTTTTTCCATCTCAGCAACAATTAACTCTAGGAAAAATTCTGTTCTTTGTTGTTATTTGATTGAGCCTTTTCTTATTCCATATTAACCAGTATTTCTGCTTTAATTTACTTTTAAATCTTTTCAAAGGTATAACTTGTAGATGTTGGAGACAAAAGAAGGAAAGAACAAATGCAAATGTATTTGAGCCCTTTCAGCAACTGTAAAGGAACTAAAAAAATTCCAAAAGGGCTGGGGAAATGGCTCCATAGTGAAGAGTGAATGCTACTCTTACAAAGACCTGGATTTAACACCCAGCACCTACATGGATCCTAATAACCATTTTCAGCTCCAGTTCCAGAGGATTTAAGATTCTCTTTCAGCCTCTGCAGACACCAGACACACATGTGGTACACATATAAATATGCAGGCAAAACACTCACATATACAAAATAAAGATAAGGTGCACAAGCATTTAATCTCAGCACTTGGGAGGCAGAGGCAAGGGGATCTCTGTGGATTCCAAGCCAGCCTCGTTTGTATAGCTAACTCCAGGACAGTCAGGATTACATAGAAAAACTCTGTCTCAAAAAACCAAAATGATGATGATGATGACAAAAATAAAGAAAATTTCCAAAGAGAAATTGCAAAGAAAGAAAAACATGAAGATTTTGAGCAAAGTCAGTAGCTCAGCTGGCTGCCAGTAAGACCCTCTGCAAAGTGACAGCTTTGCTCCACTCGACAGGCCTGAGCTGCAGACAGAAGTTAACAAGAAAGTCCCTGCTCTCAAGTGACCCTGGGGCAGTAGAGCAGCCTCCAGGTCTAGCTGCTCTAATAAAAGATAGTATTAACTTAAGGGTCTGTGGTGGTTTGAATGAGAATGGCCCCTATGGGCTCATGTAGTTGAGCACTTGGGCCCCAGCTGTCAGAACTATTTGGAAAGGATTAAGAGGTGTGGCCTTGTTGGAAGGGGCATGTCACTAGGGGAGGGCTTTGAGGTTTCAAAAGCCCATACCATTCCTAGTTAGCCCTCTGCTTCAAGGTTGTGTCTCAAGATGCTCTCCCAACCAATCCTCCATCACCATGCCTGCCTTCCTGCCTGCCTGCTGCCATGCTCTCTGCCATGAAGGTTATTCACTTTAACCCTCTGAAGTTATAAGTCCCAAACAAACACTTTCTTTTGTAAGTTACTTTAGTCACTGTGTCTTATCATAACAAAAGTAACTAAGACAACGTCTAATCCATATTTGTCATCACCTGTGGTGCCAGAAACAGTAAATTCCTCACTATGCAGCTATTGGCTTTTTTGCCTTTCCCAGATGCCTATGCAGATAGATTGAAGCCATGTGGCAATCTATGGCCAGTGAAATACAGGAGGAAGTAACATGACACAGGCTGTTTCCAAATCTGGTGCTCTGGAGCCCTGTGTGGTCCTCAGCTTTCTCTCCATGGGTTTCAGGAACACAGACGTGAACGACAATAAAAAGAACAATAAGACCCAGGGTCATCACCTGAAGAAATGAGCTGAGGAGAGTTGCTGGACTCCCATGAGGATGCTACAAAATGAATACAAGTGGAGGGAAGGCATTAATCTCTGAGGCTTGGGTTTTCATTTGTTACAACTGGGATGTTTCTAAACTAGCATTCTCACCTAAAATCTGGAATAATTGTAGTACGGGTGTAGTGGTTAACAGCAATGGCAATACGCTGTAGCGTATAGCGTAGAGTTCAGGGTTTTCATGGTGACACCAACCTGGGTGAGGTTAATGGAAGGATTAGAGGCGGGGCATTCATTTACATGCATATACAGTTACCTAGCTTTGCTCTGGGGTTTTGATAAGCACTCTCTTGGGACACAAAGAAGCCAAACTACAGATTCTTTTACCTCCCTCTTTTTTGATGTTCAGATATTTCTATTATTGACTATTCGTGATTTCAACACATATTCAGCCAACTTAACTTTCATTGCTGTATAGTTCTCCACAGTACAAAGGAACCCTAATGTATACAATCATTTCTCTATTAGTGGGCACATAAATTGTTTGAAGCTGTTATTAACATGTTTGAAATGCCACTCAAGGATTGGATACCTGCATGGGGACTTCCAGGGTCAAAGGGTAAGCATATGTTTAGATTAAATAAGCATGACCAAACTACCGGCCAAGAGTTACACTAACTTACATCTGTATCAACATTCTGTAAGCTCTCTGATTTCTTCTCCTTTTTCTGATAAGAAATGTGGAAAACTTGCAGACTGAAACACTTGTTTCACTGCAGAAGAAGAAGAGCTGGTCCTTAGAACCAACCTCTTTCAGTACTGACATAGGGGCTTCTCAGGTCCTTTCATGATCAGTGACCCCTGCATCTCTGAGCATCATAATGCCCAGGCCAGACCACCCAGAAGTGTTGACATAGAATCACAGTGGTACCCAGGGGGAACATAGGAAGATGAAGGAGGTGATCACTGGGAGAAGATGAGGGTGCATCTAAAACACTTTGTAATCAGGATAAAAAATTGAATGCAATGTTTTGACTTTTTAAGTCAAAAATCAATGCAAAAACTAACAAATAAAAAGAGACAAAATTGATCTTACTGACTTTTCCACCCTGGCTTACATAGGATAGGATATCCTGGATATCCAGGATAGCCCAGAGAAGCGATCATTCTAAGCAGTTCTAGGAGATGTTTAGAAATGCATGCACCTTAAAGTTCCTGCCAGGGTGTTGGGGAGATGGCCCTGTGCTTAAGAGCACCGGCTGCTCTTGTAGAAGGCCCAGGTCTAGTTCCCTGAACCCACTTGGCAGGCAGAGCATGAACTGGGGAGGGGTGGGAATCAATAACTTTATCTTTGCCCCCACCCACTCCTTCCTGTCCCCCTCACTACCCAGGAACAGAAAATTAATGTTCCCACAAAATGTCATTCGTCCCACGTGCCAGAAGAGTTAGCATTAACATGCCCTCTAGTGGATTTTTATAAACAAGAAGCACACACCTGTGGAATCAGGACCACAGCAAACAATGATCAATTATCTTCAACTATGTCCGCAGTCCCTGATGCCAAAACAATGCCATTCAAGGAAGCCTGTCACCAACTTTAGCTGCCACATGACAGCAAAGTTGAAGAGCACCACTTCCGGGTCCTGACTGGTGGCCTTGGTGTCTGGGGCCAGTCATTGCCATTAGCAGGAATGTCACCTAGGAACCCGGATACTGTGGCCTAAACCAGTATGAGCCCCTCCACACTCTCTGCTCCTAGCCTTCTCTGTCTAGAAAATCTCCACCCTTCAGTAGCTGTACTGTACAGTTTGTAGAATGGTCTGCGGTATCCTCATCTTGGCTTTAAAAGAAGTGCGTTTACTAACAATATAGCAAAGCCAAAGTAAAAGGGCAAACAACAAGAGAACGAAACATCATTAAGTCGGGTGCTCAAAACAACTAGCAGGAGTTGATGAGGGCAGTTCTGCTGAGGCAGCCAGCTGGAGTTTCCAACAGTGACAGTCCCAGACAGAACAGTGTCCCCTCTGCCAGTGAAAGAAGAAATAGCAACCCAGCAGACACCCGCTGGGGAAGTCAAGGCCGCCAGCCAGAGTTGCTAACAGCTTTCTCTCCGCGGATAGGCTTCTCACGGCCCCTCATCCACTTGCAGGCCCTTTCATGTCATGGGTGAAACAACCGTTGGAAACGGTTACCCTCTAGCTGTTCTCAAGGACACGGTGTTTTCATTTTCAGACTGTTTGGCCATTCCCACTCTTCCCTATCACAGAGGCAAGGAGCCAGGCCACCCCCAAACACGGGGTCTTGGAGGACATTTGATTTAAACACGCTTAAGTCTGAGGTTGGTGTGGGGGCATCCCTGCCTCCAGAGCCAGCGCCTCAGCAATCCCAAACAGCGCATGACAGTCTCCCAAGGCGATGGATACACAGCAGCTCCAGCCGCGCTGCCCAGTGCTGGCTTCTGCATCTGTGGAAGGCTCCCTGTGCTGTCTCCCACAGGTGTCAAACCCTCCACATTACTGATGTTCTGAGCCGTGTAGCTCTTTGTGGTAAGGGGCCACCTGGAGGCAGAGTAGCATCCCCATACTCAACTCACCGTTTGTTTTTGATGTTTTACTGTTTTTATTTCATTTGGTGGTGGGCACATAGAGTTGTCCTTTTTTATCATTCTCTGTCTCATCCTTGAAACAGTTTCTCTCACTGAACCTAGAACCCCAGCAAGTCCCTCCTCTCCCTCCCCCCCCACTTCCTATGGTGGTGTGGTTATAGGGAAGTATAGGACTCTGCCTGGCTTTTTATGTGACAACTGAGGATTCAAACTTGGGATCTTCATGATTATACAAGAAGCAGGCTTTCCCATTTAGCCATATTCTCAGCCCCAAACTCCTCTATTCACAACCACCAAAGCTGTCTCTAGACATGGGCAAATGTCCCCTCCCCTAGGGTAAAGGAAACAATGTCACCCTAAGATGGGATCCACAGCCCTCTCTGTCAAAGTCACTGGAGACAAGAAGCAGGACTACAGAGCAGAAAGTCCTCATTTGTGTGACTTGGTGACTCACCAGTCCTGTCTTTGGGCTAGGAGGCTCGTAGGCTTCAGCATTCTGTTACAGAGCACCCTGTCCCGGTGGCATTGAGTTCACAGGCTGCTGATTCCCTCCCTGGAAGGATGAGGCATAGGCTGTGTGGGGGGGTGTGGGGTCAAGGGTGTACAAGAGCAGAGAGAGGGGGGCTGCAAAGGGAGGGGAGAAAAGGAAGGGGATTGACTACTGAGTTCCATGTGACATCAAGACATGGCCTCGCTCCCATTCCTGTCATCCTGTTAGAGTTCCTGTGCACAACAAAAGCCTGGAGACTTCTATGCTTGCCAGGCACATACTTACACAGGTTACCTGTGAGGAAGCCATGGTAGCTTGGGGAGGTAAATGGTTTGCCAAGCCTCCATGGCCAAAGCCTCAAGTGCCCCGTGACTCTCAGAAGTGGGAAACCAGGACATTAAACAACCCTCTGGACAAGTGTTACCACAGGTACAAAGTTAGTGAAGACCTTGAACTAAATACAAATTTTGCTTCTTAGCTGACTTCCTGGCACTGAGTCAGGGTGGCCTAATTCAATATTTCTCTATTACAGTCGCTTAGTAAATGCTTTGTGGTCATTTTCTCCCCCAATAAACCTTGTCATCTCAAATGGCGGGAGTATTCTCATTTCCCAATTCTTCCATGGGGCCTGACAGACTAGCCTGGAGGCCAAGGGACATATGGGAGCCCATATTGTCCTTCTCATAGCCAACTGCACCTAGCTGGGGTCCCCACAGGCAACATAGCACAGAAGACAGACTTCCTGGACTGTGCACCAAGAGACCACACTACAGTCTGTTGAGCAACCTCAGCAAGTTGTTACCCTCACTGGCCCTCAGATACCCCATCTGACCAAGGAAATTCCAGCCTCCGGCCTCCGGCCTGACCTGAGATGACAAAATGAGTACACTCCCTGACCCCAAACTTCTGAACAGGTCTCCCAGAGAAGGCTGCATTGCCAGTTCCCCAAAGCTGATCTACTGCAAGTTGGTTTTGATGAGTAACTGTCTTCCTCCATGATCTTAGACGGGCACAGGACAGGCTCTCCCTCTCTGCAGCCACTATGCTGGAGAAAACACTCCCGGTGATGATTCCTTACCCAACCTGTCTTCCCCTATAAAAAACAAAAACTCAACTTCCAAAGAAAAAGAGAGACTTGATTGTGAGTTTTCAAATGTGCAAGCCTCTGTCTTGGCTTTTGTATTCAAATGCCTCTTCTGCCCTAGAAAGACGAGCATGGTGGCAGGAGGCACCAGAGCAAAGGGGGAAGTTGCAGAGGACAGGCTTCAAGGGAGACTGGCCAAAGATGTGCTGGCCAAGAGGTGCAAAGACAATCCTAAGTTCCAGACTGAGAGACAGAAGCTGCCGGACTCTCTCCTGTACATATTGGTAACACAGTCATTGATGGTGGGAAAGCAGAGATCAGCCCAGGCCCAGTGAGGAGCCACAAGCAAAGCCAGAAAGGCTCTTAGTCCATTGAAGCTGCTATAACAAAATGCCATGGACTGGTGGCTTATCAGCCACAAAAAAATGTACTTTTTACAGTTCTTGAAGCTGAGGAATTTAAAATAAAGGCACCAGTAAACCTGGAGTCCAGTGAGAGTCCTCTCCTCTTTGGAGACCATGTTCTCACTGTATTCCGTGTGGTAGAAGGGGCTCCAGGTATGTCTGGGGCCTCTTTAATAAAAGCATAAATGCAGTCATTAGGGATCTGGTCAGTGTCCTCAGCTACCAAACAAAGACAACCATCTTTGTACTAGAGAGTCCACTCTGAATGAAGTCTTAGCATACAGGAGACTGAGGTCATATAATCACAAGTTCAAGGCCAGCCTGGACTACATGGTGAGTGGGATACCAGCCTGGGCTAAAATAGTGAGATACATTTGTGTGTGTGTGTGTGTGTGTGTGTCTGTATGTGTCTGTGTCTGTGTGTGTCTATGCACAGACTAGGAGATTCCTCCCAGATCTAATCTGTAAATAATTGTCATGTGCCACTTAAAGTATACACCCATGTGTATAGCACATATTAATTTAATTTTTTTCCTCTTTCACGCTATTTTGATTCTGAAGAACCAAATATCTTGTGTTGGTTACTTTTCTCAGTTCTGTGACAAAAGAGACTTGAGGGTTTCTTTAGTTCAGTCTGAGGGTGTGGTACATGGTGGTGGGGAAGCTGTAGCATGAACGAGGCGGCTGGTCACATTACATCTATTGTAGCCCAGAGAGATGCCAACGGAAACTTGGTTGGGACTTCCTCTGAACCACAGTGAACAGAGGTTATAGAATGGGCATTATTTTTAATTTCCCACACTCACTCTATCGCAACAGAATTATTATTCTAGTGCCCAACCCTGCAAGCCACTCCTTCTAGCTAGCTCCCCTAGCCCTGCCCTTATTCCAACCTTGTTTGCCAGACCTATCTTGTTATTTTTTATTAAAGATTAACTTGTATTTTAAATTTATGTGTGCACATGAGTGCAGTACCCATGGAGGTCAGAAGAGGGTGTTAGATCCCCCCAGAGCTAGAGCTATAGACAGTTGTGAGCTACCTGATCTGGGTATTGGGAACTGAACTCAAGTCCCCCTCAAGAGAAATGTGTGCTGTCAACAACTGAACCATCTCTACAGCCTCAGATCCAACTTCTTAAAAACTAAGTCAAATGTCACCCTCACCAATTGTCCTGGAAGAACTTGATCTTAACCCAACACAAACTCTTAGGAACTTGTCCTTTCCCAGGGCTCTGTATCATAGGGCCAAACAGTAGGTGGCTTCAACAGCAGAAATGAATTTTCTTGAAGTTCTAAAGGCTACCCAGTTCTAATGGCCAACATCTAGACATCTAGATGTCTAGCTGTCTCCTGGGGCTCTCTCTCCTTGATTTGAAAATGACTGTTTTGTGTGTCCTTGTGTAGTCTCTCCATGTGTGTCTGTGTCCTAATCACGTCTTTTCCATATTTATTTATTGTCTATATTTCTGTGTGTGCATGTGTATGCACATGTGCACATATACCCTGTACACATGTGGAAGTCAGAGGACAACCTGTAGGAGCCCATTCTCTCATTCCATCATGTGGGTCCCAGGGACTGAACAAGTTTGTCAGGCTTAGTGGCAAGCCCCTTAACTTGCTGAGCCACCTCATTGACCCAAACCAACCTCTTCTTATAAAGACATTAGTCCTATTAGATCGAAGCCCAAGATAGAACTTTATTTTGCCTTGCTTGGTACTTTAAAGCCTCTGTCTCCTAACAGTAACATTCTAAGGTCCTGGAGGTGAGGACCTCAGCTCATAAGCCTGCAGAGGGGGGGGGGTCACAGGAAATCTGCCACTGTAAAGAAAACCCAGGGAAGTATTTGTTCCTAGAACATAGTACTTAGCTTTCTGGGTCTGCCATGAAAGCACTGTAGAGTTCTGTGCTTATTTTTAAATGCATGGATGAATGAATCTCTTGGGACTTACATCCATTTACATCCTATGGTTTTATATTGGTTGTACATGAGTGTCATTCCACCTTCTGGAACCCAGAGTCTGGAAGATGCTCTCATGTACAGCTTTGTCCACTGAATCTTGGGCTCTATAATTAGGCCTTGGTTAGCTAAACTAGGACACACTGTCATACAAAAACATTTTTAACTCTATATCTGTAGGCAGAAGTTTCTATGTCCTGCACTGTCCTGCAGCTGCTTTCAAATAATCACACAGAGGCGTATATTAATTATAAATATTTGGCCAGTAGCTCAGGCTTGTTACTAACTAGCTCTTACAACTTAACCCATTTCTATTAATCCATGTATCATCCCAGGCTCATGGCTTTTACCTCTATCCCCATTTCGTATATCCAACTCATTCTCCATCTGGATGGTGACTCTTCCCTCTCATTCCACCTTCCTTCTTCCCAGAATTCTCTGTGTCTCTGGCTGCCCCACGTATACTTTCAGCCTGGCTACTGATCAATCAGTTCTTTTTTAGTCGATGAGAGCAATACATATTTATAGTGTGCAGAAAGCTTATTCCACAGCATAGCTAGCAGCTTGTATCCTCTAAGCTACCCATTCCATCACTCCAAGCCTAGGCAGCCTGTGTATGATCCTAGCCTGACCACACCAATCTCTCATGGTTCTTCAGTGCCTGGCTAAGACTGTGGTGTGAAACCCTTTGGGAACTCTAAAGAACTCCTACAAATGGTGGATGTCACTCTTTCAGCTATTTTGTAACACACTACTTTCAGTTACTATGGCTTCATAATAAATCACCCTCAGAGTTTACTGTCTTCACTTGATCTTAGCCAAAAAGCTGGGGAGCAATAAAATATAGTCGCCTTTTGCAACATTCATTGTGGGCTAAGTGTGCCTCTTGGTGCATCTCGGTGTTTAACATGTACAAGCTTCAGTTCACTCAGTGAATGCATGTGCACACACAAACACACACACACACACAGACCCATCATGCAATTTATTTTGCTCACCAATGTGCAATGAGGGGAGAGACCTGTCTCTGCACCACTTGGTGTCTCCTAGAGAAACTCTAAGGCAAGGATCTGGGTAAGTAGGAAGTCTGATTACAGGTCTACCATATACGGCCCCTCAGTGTGCCTCAGGC